CAATGAATTTTCCTGTTTTTATATTAAATACATCCAAGCTAATTTAGAGTACAATTTATATTAGAAATGTGTTCAAAAATAATGTAACAATCATATCTGATACTGATATGTTTGATACGGGATATAGTCATGTGACTTTTAATACAATCTTTTCTGATAGAAATTTTGTGATGCTCCAAAAAAATATCGAAAATTCGTATGTCATGATAATTGAATTATACAATATCGATGTCAAATGAATTTTTTATATAACCGGTTTTTAAGTTAATATTATGATTCCGAATATATCCAAGCCAAATTTGCACTAATTTATGCTAAAATAAATAGCCACTCTAATTTAAAGTTCAATTTATAAAAATTAAATGATTTTCATACAATTTACTTTATCTATATTTAAACCCGGATTATATGCTAAATCAAGTCACCAAAATTAACAATACCAAAAAACCTGTTCTTGTAATTTTCGTATTACAGATTATAAGCCAAATAAAGTTGCAGATCTTATTAAAGAATTATTGATATGCACGATTTTTTTATTGTTATTATTATATAATGACTTTACTTGCTTTGACAAATCACGTGTAATTTCCAACTTTGATTATTGTATTGCTACGTATTGGCAGTTAATAAATGTTGAATAGTTAATTTTCTTTAAATTATGATAAAAATTCTGTTGATGCATTTTTTCTTTCGTCAGAATATTTGTTGCGCACCAGAACAATGCCTAAATAAATAAAATTCAATTTAATTTATTAATTCACTTTTTTTAATTTCTAGTTGAAATTTATTTAATTGCATTGTTTTATAATTGAAATAGATTATTGTTAACGAATAAATATTAAATTCCTTACAAATCTAAAAATTTATATTTTACATTCTTGTCAAAGCAAGGAGCCCGCAATTTGTGTTATCATTTTCTTAAGTTTAACTGAATCATTGTTGTCGAATTTTTCACAATTAAATAAAATTACATTACTGTACATTTAATTTGAAAAATAACCTTTCTGAGCTAGAGCGCTCAATTTATTTATTCGTCATATTGGGGTTTCAGTAAAACCCAAAACACACAGTAAGTACAATAAAAATCGTTAGCTTAATTGAAAAAAGAAAACACAATTAATAAATTGACTATCAATAAATTATTCCAAGGTAAAACTAATATAAATTCGAGCGTACTATCTGATGAAAAAAAATTTAAGTAACAATTAAATATTCAGCAAAAAAGTTCTGTCATTAATTACTCTAACTCTATTCCTTTTTTCTTAAAGGTACAAACAAAAATGGCCAAAATTTCTAAGGACTATATTTTAGATATTCATGAAAAATTATTATTTGTAGAAAACTCAATTAGAGACAAGGATATATTACTTTCTGATATTTGTAAGATTAGTGATTACTTTAATAATATTGAAAGCAGGATTTATTTAATTCAATTCCATTCTATTGAAGCTGCTGAGAATGCACTTAAAAAGAAGCCAAGTCAAAAAAATGCTTATAAAGTCTTTAACGACAAATGAGCACGAATAACGAAATCTGTTCGAAAGCCAATTATTTCTTAGGACAATGTCGTGAAAATGGGGTTGGTGTGAACAAAATAATAAACTTGCTTTACATCATTTAGAACATGCAAAAAGAGTTGGTGGCTTGAATAATGATCTACTAAAAATAGCTGAAAACAAAATTAACAAAATTAAAAAACTATCAAAATAGTGATTAGATTTAAATGTTTTAAATGTTTTGTTAGCTGAAATTTTATGTTTATTATTTTTTCCCATCTAAATTTTATATAGGAAAATTAAAGTATATTTAATTTAGGTCAAGGTGTATAATGCCAAGCAAAATTAAGAAATAGGAATGCTGTGGTTATTAAAATTAAGTGATATGACGGAATAGATAATATTTCGATATTATGATAAATATATGCAAAATATCGAAATCATTAAAAAAATATGTAATGATATATAAGCATAATGGGTTTTGTGTGAACGGTTTCATAAGCAATTTATGGTTAAGAAAGCAATTGGCCAATTAAATACACGTAATTATTATATTTGTTATGTAAACGGTTAAGCGATTCATAAGAAATTGTAGATAAGGGAAATGATTGAACAATCATAACACATGTGCATTATTCATGAAGATATCAAAAACGTAATTTCTGTTTAAAAGTTTTTATATTACCAGGCCAAGACTACCTATTTTATTTAATAACTACAACATTCAATTTATAATGAATGTAGTATCAAGCACTCTTTTGATTATTAAATCATCGTAATATCCGAAGCATCTATACTTATTACAACCGGTTATAGTTAGTACGTACAGTACGTACAGTACGTATAGTAGGATTTTTTTTACACCATAGTTTCGAAATATTCCGTAATCATTTCGGAATATTTAGGAACTTATAAATGTTATGGCCCAAACTTCATAACTTATAGAATGACTGTCAAAATTTTAGCGTAGCTGTACATATAAATAAACTGTGTAGTTTATTTTAAAACTAGAATTTTACAATAAACTACAGTTTATTTATATTAACTACTAGTTTACGGATCGCACCTCTACCCACCGAGGATAGCGGAGTTTAACCATACCTACCTCGGAGCGAACGAATTTGAGAAAGGTATATTCAGTGTTGTCAATGGACATGGACATGTCCATGGACATGGACATATAAAAATATGGATGTTTATATCCATGAACATATAAAAATATGTCCATGTCCATGTCCATGGACATTGGACATTGTGTCCATGGACTGTCCATGTCCAATAATTTGCTTGGACATATGTCCATGTACAACACTGGGTATATTGACTACTACACGACCAAATCCGATAATTTTTTTATTTTATTTGAATTCTACGGATCCGTAGAATTCAAATAAATAAAAAAATTTATTGAAATTTGTTACATTGACCAATAAGATCACATGATCCCACAGACCCATGGGACTGCATAATTATATGATCACGTATCATATTTTCGCATCTTGATTATAAAAAATTTGTTAAGGGTAGTAGCAGTTGAAGGGGAAACTTTTAGTCAGATACGGTGCAGTAATTAGTTTATATAGAGGTATAATCTGAAAGTTTTTGGTATTAAAAAAAAAAACTATAAAAAATCAAAAAATACACCATCATAATCGTCTCAAAAATGGGCCTTTTAAATTCGGGCAAATCATTAAAATTTTAATTTTAAATGCGCCAACATTACAGATAAAAATTTGGCCGAAATTATTCACATGATCAAAATTATACATAAATTATTCATCATACGTATTACGATTTATTGGATAAATTAAAATATTAATCTTGTATATTTCGAATAATATATATGCTTATTTCACAAATATTCGGGATTTTAATTATATAGAGGCCGTGTATTGATTGTGCATATCGATAATTTTTTTATCCAATAATAAGATAAACCGGAATTATCAATAGTCTATTTAACGGTTAACTAAAAAATCATTTATACAACGTATATATAATTGTATTGTAATATATTCTAACACTAAATGCACTTGATGCTTAAAACAAGTGTGTTACTGCATTAAAATAAATTTTGATATATTACATATCTTGCTTAAAACATACAACTGTAAAATATACGAAAAAAACTGATACTATCTGCTATGTTTGTTGAATTATATCTAGCGCTAGTGATACAACCTATAAATTATAATAAATTATAGATATTCACTGGCTGTGGATTATTTATATTACTGTATATGTCAATGTTCGGTTAGCTGCCGAATTTGTATAATAAGTAATATAAACCGGTTTTAATAATAATTACAGAATTATCGTTATGTATAAAAAATTACAAACCACGTGAAATATATCCGAATATTGATTAAAAACCTAATATTGTATTATATATAAACGTTCAGTTATATAAATTGCATAAATTGTATTGTAAAAAGAATAGAATACTTATATACATGTTTGACTCAGCAGTTAAGTCATGATTTATTGATACGCTTACATGTGAATTGTCAAAACTATAAATTTATCGACTGACTCTTGTGTAGTTCAAAATTTTTAACAACAATAAAATAACATCACTTCTAATTACACAAAACGAATAAAACTTAATGTCGCTTGAACAAAGAGATCATCTATTTCTGGCAAATCAACTAGATTACTTTTATTATTTGAATTTTCCGAATTCTTTGTGGTTATCTCAACTGGCAGATGAATCTTTAATACATGAGGATGCTTCTCAAGGTAAGAAATTATAATTGAAATAATAACAAGAGAGAGAAATTAATAATTTTGTTCATATTATATACAATTGCTTCAGAAGATTCTTTGGCCATAAATAAATTTAAAAAAATAGATGACAAAATCAACGCTCTTGATGTTCTTTTTACTAATGATCAATATAAATTTTTTATTTTGCTTTTTACTATTTCATGTATACTTAATTTGTTTATTTATTATTTTATTTATTTTATAATAATTTCAAGAAAATATTTGTTAATAAAATTGGACACATTGAGAAAAATCATTAAGATACTAAATTTTACGAACTCAGTTAATTTAAAAACCTCTAATTTAACAAGATCTACAATATACAAGTATACTGTAATTTTGATGACGTTATTTATTTTTTTTTAAGAACAAGTTAAGTGATTGGTATTTGTTTACGCATCGATTTTAAACTTTCCCTCTTTTCTCAATTATTCCTTTAATTTTTTTCTTTCATATTTTTTTTTTACCTTTTCTTTCCATTGTGCGGATAGGGCCACTGAATGTGGTAGTCTAAACTTGAAACTTCCCTACGCATAAAATGTCTTTCTTTTTGTTTTCGTAGTTTTTTTTATAAATTCTTTTTGACTCCATCGAAGTGTATGTTCTCTGAAATTGAGCTGGGAACCGACCAAGGTTTCGAGTTGACGAATACGAGTGTCTAGACGTGAAACTGGCTCGCAGGAATTGACCGTAAGATATGCTCTGGGGTTCGTTTTCGAACGAGCGAGAACGAGCGAGGGCAAAAGTGTAGCAATTCGAAACGTTTGTCGGTTCTTCGGAAAATTTTATTGAAGCGAACGATTATTTTTTCTTTTTCTTTTTTCTTTTTCTTTCTTTTTTTTCCCTTTTCATTTTTTTCCCATTATTTTTTTATTATTATTTATTTTTTCTCTATTTTTTTTCGTCAACGAAGATTTGATTACGAATTGTAGGGAAGTATGAGTTTATTTCTTTTGAATGGTTTGAACGACTATGTTAAAACAGATGATGATTACGTTTTATTTTTTTATTTTTATTATTTTTGAGGAGGAAACGAAGTACCGATGTCGTTTGGAGGAGACTATTTTTTTTTTTTAGTTCTTTTTTGCTCTGTTTTTTTTTTGTTGTCTTTGTGGCGAGCGCACTTACGAACCTTTTTCAGTTTCGATGCCGTCGGGTGCGGGTGTCGTCGTTCGTCATGGAGAATACATTATTTTATGGTCTTTCTTCCTCCTTGAGAACCTCGGGGTTAGTCTTTGTCCTGGTGAGTTCTGCGTCTCACCGAAAAATAAGATGGAAGGGTGAATCGTCTCGGGGGATCATTTTTTAGCATAGTTTTTTTTTCGAAGTGTGTCCCACGGTGTTGTTTCTTGACGTATCAGCATTACGTGGTTTTTTAACGTCTCCCTTGTCAGCCTCTGAGTCACCTCCATTTTCCTCGTGCTACTGCTGTGTTTCTTTTTTAATTTTTTTTTGCTAACGTTTTTCTGGGTATGTGGTGATTCGGGTCCCCGAACTATTCACCGATCTCTGGAAACCCCCGATAACGACGGGCTAATTGTGCGTCGCGGTTAACGATGCAACATCATGGAGGTTGATTCTCCTGTCAACCCCGTTTTGTCAGATGATGTTGTTGAGACGTAGGTCACGTACTCACGTTGGTGAGCCTTCTGCTTTTTTGGGTTACTGGTTGGATCCTGGGCACGATCGGTGCATATTGTCCTCTTGGAATCTTGCACTTCGATGCTTGTGTTGTATCCGCCTGAGCGATCCCCCATTTCCGTGAGGTTGATCCTACTCGTCGGTGTGCGAGTTTTAATTTTTTTTTCAAAAGTGTTTGTATGTTTCTCCGGAAGAAATATGCCGTTGTGGGAATTGGATTAACCTGCATCGTATAATGCTGACCCCTTTGTCTTTTATGTCAACCTGGAGTAGAGACGAAAGCGTATCCATTCACGAGACTGACTCCCCTTGTGTCTTATGACGAATACTCGTAGGGTCTACTATATGGCACTGACAGTAGGTTCGTTATTGAACTGGTGCTGGTAGTTTGATAGGTTTTAACCGATCAACTTAGTTGATCATAAAAACCGTAAGTTGGGTCCACTTATGAAGGACTAGGGTTTTAGCTTTTTTCCCAGGTGTTTGACACTGAATAAAAACGTACCGAATTCCGTTTTATAGAGTTTTCGGGATAAAAAATTCTGGGTTCGCATTGGTCCGGTCTTTTGTTTCGTTGTTTTCGGAAGATCGAGGTGGTGGTGCGAGCCTAAATATATAACAACGTCGTGCGAATTTTTTTTTTGCGCGGGTGCGTTTGTTAGGATTTCTTTCATGGAAAAACGAAACTCCCTTCGACGAAGGTCTGACACACGCCTTCGACGATTGAAAACTGACAATCGGTTATTTTTTTATTTTTTTATTTTTCTTTTTTAACAATATTATTTATAACATGTAATTTTATGTAACATTAAAATACTTATACGGGATATGATTCGTAAATTGAACAAAACTATAGAATATACTAATAGTTTGTAGCAATTAGAAGACTCATCTGATTGACTGACTTTAATCATAGTACCGAGTCAGCCTTATATTAAAAGGTACTCTGTCCTGACCCATAATTTTAAAGTAAAATTAAATAAATTAAAATTTTTACATACTATAAAGATAAGTATTTTTATCCAATACTAAACCGGAATTGAGTTCCAATGGAAATTTATACTTATATAGTAAAGTCATGTGATATTTATGTTATAAATTAAATAGTACATGTGTTGTGAAAACTAATATTACAAGAAATAATAAAGAATTTTATTTATTGAAAACAAAATCAACGATTTGACCAGAATTATATAATCAGCCGGCATTATGATTTTAGATCCTAAATTTAGGCCAAAATTTTTATAAGGCTAGTTAATTCCCGTGATCTTCTGCTAACGCTAAACCTTATCACATGATTTCACCGACCCATGGTTCTGCAGAGTCACATGCCATTCGAGAAAAGCACCTCGATATGGGTATTGAAAGAATGACATTAATTCAGATATGCTTTGATTTTTACTTCGTGTGATAGTTAGCACATGGATTCACTGATGTTGAGTTTATCAAGAAAACATTTTTCACGTATGTATCTTGTGGTGTTCTATTTGAGAAGCAGCATGATTAGGGTGAGATACACGATTCCTTTTTTTTTTTATTTTTTTTTATTTTTTTTTATTTTTTTTTATTTTTTTTTATTTTTATTTTTTTTTATTTTTATTTTTTTTTATTTTTTTTTATTTTTGAGAGGCATAATCATTTATCAGATTGTTATTAATAAAACCCCAGATTTAGAAAAAGATATCGAATCCCTACGTAAAGATCATCGTCAATAGATTATTTGCCCCGAAACAAAACATTACGTAATTTTCAAGAAGAATTAGAAGATTTAAAAATATTTATTTATTTGAAAAGCATATTATTATTAAATTGTACCCTTTATTGCATATATTTCCCCTTGGTTTTGATTGTTGATTTCATTCATCCTATTAATAATTTTAAGAATTAAGATCAATACTCGTCTAAAATATATTTTGAAAACTTAAAATAAAAGATTTACATTTCCACATTTTTCATTTTCACATTTTCCAATTCTACAAACAAGTTGATATATGTTGTTTGTAAACAATTCAAATTTTTTGTAAGATGTGTCAAACTTTTTTTTTGGCTTTGCATATAATATACAGCTAACAAAGAGCTTGGGTCAGTATATGAAATAGATCCAAATAATTGCAAGTAACTCACTTTTTTTTAATAACTCAGCTTTACTCGCTTTACGCTTATAGTAAGTAGTCGGGAGTAGTTCATAGAGCAAATCAAAACCCTCATTAATATCTTCCCGCCTTTCTCTCTCATCATTTACTTTAGTTTTTCTCTTTTCTACCGGGTCTTGATTACTTTTTCTTTTTTTACGTTTTTTAAGGACACTAATGTCAATGAAAAAAAAATTTAGAGTATATTTGAAATAGTTATTAGATGAATTTGAAAGCATTATGCCTGTTAGAATTATCATCTAAAGAGCTCAAATTAATACTACATATTGAAAAATCATATTTGGCATTACCAAGATTAGTAATAATAAATTATATTAAGCAGTTTGTGTATAACTAACATTAAAAGTTCGTACTTGCTCAGAGCATCGATTGTAACACCATTTTCAGTCAGTCTTGTCATAAAGGAAAATGAAAATCATTAAAGGTTTTTTTTTTATAATTTAAAACAATTTGGTGAAGGACTGAATTGAAAGCGTTTACACTGGTTACTAAATTCATTACATAAACGTTAATTTATTTGCACGTTCTTATATTTGATTGTCGCCAATGTAAAACCTATCATCAGGCATTCAAATATATTTTGTACAGGACACATTCCTTGTCTGAAAAAAATATACCTGATGACATGATTTCCCTTGGTAGCACTCATTAAAAACTGCATGAAAAAAATAATTTCTTTACCTTGGCCTACATATAAATTTTGTTGCATGTCTTCGGTCGGTCTTGTCATAAGGAGATGAAAATTATTAAAGGTTTTTTTTATAATTTAGAACAAGCAATGAGAAGTATTCATGCCTATTATCACGTGTATCAAAATCGACTGAATTGAAGTTTACATTGTTTGAATTGGATTTTTTCAGAGCATCATTAACTGATGCATCTAGTGTTCAGAAGAATACGTTAACTTATTGACTTTGTCATGAACACGTTCAAGAGTCACGTAAACAGAAATAAAAATCAGCATATTTACCTGGGAATAAAATTAAAATTCGAATGAGGTTATCATAATTCATTGAACAACACCAATTTATAAAAATTTCGGTTTAATTTATTATGTCTAAAAGATCTGCATTATGATATATTTGTAAATAACGTAACGTTTGTTGAATTCCTGTGTAACTAGAAAACGTATAACCCATTAGTCCCTAATAAAGATAAAGTAAAAAAGATAACAGTATATAAATATATATAATAGATACAGTATAACTTATCAAGTCAGCTTTGCCAAAATTTAACTCATAAAAATGAATAGTAATCAAGTTAAATCCTCGAATGAAAATGAACTTAACAAAGTTGTGATTTATCTATATTGCATTTCTGTGTAAGTTTTATTTAAATATATTTATAACTAGAAAACGTCCTATTAAAAAAAAAACTGGGTTTAATATTATACCGTTAATATAATGGCAATTTCTTTTAAAAAACAAGTTTTAAAATATATAGGATCTGCAATAGTATAATGTATATGAGTGCCGTCCCGTCAAGGGAAACCCCACATGCTGTCTTTCACTCATATATTAAAATAATATGATCTGCAATATATTATTCGTATTTTCTCGGGTTTTGAGTATATATGCTATTTAAATTAAATAATATATATAAGATGAAATAATTCTTACCGAGTACATATGAAATTTATAAAATAAACTCATCAGGTTTGAATTCTAACTTGTAAAAATATGAGTACGCAACCTTTAAATCAAGAAAATTCTGAACAAGCTATACAAAGCCATTTGCTCAAAGTTTACGGAAGTTTTTGCCTTGTTATTGCTTTCGGAGTTATTATTTTTAGAGTATGTTAATATTGCTTTAGAAAAATTGTCTTTTTTTTTTTTTCTAGCTAAATTCGTATTTTGTATTTTAGACATTAGACTTTATTTTTGAATTACCAATTAGACCTTTGATCGAAGTTTTGTTTCTGTAAATTCTATTTTTTTTTTTATTATTTTGCTTTGCTTCATTTAGTTAATAATTTTTTTTTTGCATTTTACAGCTATGAAGACGTTGCAAATGTCTACAAAATGAATTTCTTAATGTTTGGTCCTGTCGTATTGCTACCTTTAGCAACCAACAAAAAGATAATCATAGATGTTGTATTCATTTTAAGAATTGTGATTTCAACGTGGAATTAGTATTCATTCGTTAACTATAGCAGGTTTTTTAATGACAAATTCGTTAACAATGGCTGGTATTCTGATTCGAATTATTTTGGATGGTTTTTTTTATTGGGTATATATAAAAGCATATTAAGTTTTTTACTCAAGTAAAGTACTAATTATTTTACATTTTACAGTCTTAATTGGAATTGAAATTTACCATACTCCATCCGGATCTTTTCATAAAATTTTTCTTTTTTGGTTTATCTGCATTTTTTTCATCAGTTATTCATTTTTGAATTTCATTGGCTTTGCTATCCTTGTTCGGTATTCAGAATTGAACTATGTTGGATGGTTTTGTTTAATAGGTATATATCCAATTTTCATTATAATTATATTTAAATCAAATACGTATTAATTATTTTTTTATTTTGTAGTCTTATTTAATGTTGAAAAAAATATTTATCATTTTGCTCAGTTGGGATTTCGTGACATTATAGGACATACTCTTTATTTGGTCTTTCAGTTTCTCTATTGTAATTTATTATTAATATCAATATTAGAAAAATTGATAATGGCTGAACTCATAAATTCAATTGAATTTAAATTTATCAGTTGATAATGTTATCATTTTATCGTATTGATTAAACTAATAAATTTGGCCAATCATCAATAAGATGCAATTTACCAATCATGAAAAAGATCACGAATTACGTCATTTGAATTACGTCATTTGTATTACGTTGTAATCTGCTTATTAAAAAATACGAGATTCATTGCGAAAACATTTTACAAGGTTTTTATTTAAAAATTTTTAATTTTAAAATTTACAAATAATTTTTATGATAATTAAGAGGCCGGATTTATTTAATGCATTGAAATAATTTTCATTAAAAAAATCATATTATGAACATATGATTACTACAACTTCCCATCAAAATAATCCTTCAATTTAAGATATGAAGTTTCTTCATCATTCATAAGAATCATAAGAATGAAACATTCTAATGCTTTCTTATTATCAGGATTAATTTCTAATAATCTTGTCAGATCGACTAAAGCTTTATCATTTTTACCAATTGCAGTATATGCTTGAGCTCGAATACTCAATATCTCTTCGTTATTGGGATTAATTTCTAATAATCTATTCAGAGCGATTAAAGCTTCGTCATATTTACCAATCGCAGTATATGTTTTAGCTCGAATACTCAATATCTTTTCGTAATTGAGATTAATTTCTAATAATCTATTCGGATCGACTAAAGCTTCGTCATGTTTCAATAATTCAGTCGAAATATCGATCATTACTTCTCCTTGAAACCGTAACAAATCCTTATCATTCGGATGAGCGTCCAACAATATATTTAGATATTCTAAAGCTTTGTGAAAATAGGTAAGAGCTTCATTATGCCTGCAAAGTTTACGGTATTCTTGAGCGCGAACTTTTAACAAGTACGGAATGCCTAACAACCTACATAGATTTTTAAGTTTTTTATTTAGCTAATTCAAATAATTATTCAAGATATTTGAAGATAATTACCTATTAGGATTATTCATATTGATATCACTAATGCTAAGAAACACGGGAAAGGTTGCATTAGTTTATTGACTTTGTAAAGAATTAACATAAAATTATAAATATGCAACAGAATTTATTAATATATGATCACATATAATATAGCAGCAATCTACACTAATTAAACTCTATGCGCGTTTTCTAAAAACTTATTACCTAGGTATTCAAAGAAGGATCTGTCTTGCTGTAAATGAAAAGGATAAGGGAGAATGAGAGTCAATTTATTAGATTTCAGTTCGATGAACTCTCGTGTAAACAGGATTAAATTAAGAACATTATATAATAACTATTGCAAGATCTACAATATACCATTATATATAGTTATTATATTTAGGCAATATAAAAAATAAAGTAAAAAGGTATAAGGTATAAATACCTAATCTTTAAAAAACAAGATTAAAAAAATACAAGATCTGCAATATGCTGGAAACAAAAACTTGGTTTATAATATTTTCTCAATAGTAAATAATATATGCTATTAATAGATTTAACCCATTTAATATTTTAGAATAACTGGACGTAAAAACCTGCTTTGTGTTTTCTCGATTGTAATGTTATATATGCTATTAATTTAATAATATATAGCAGAACAGATTGCCACTTCATTCCAAAATTTAACTTTTCGAACTTGTAAAAATGACTAAACAAGATGCACGACCCCATTTATTCAAAGTTTACATAACTTTCGGAATTCTTGCTTTCGGAGTTTATACTTGTTTGTATATTATTAGGGTATGTCATTTTTAAATCATCATGTTAATAGTACAATAGGACCTCCCTGTATGTATTTCTTAATCTTCATTTCTGTAGTGTGGGATTTAAAAATTAAAAATTCAAATGCCATATCTCATAATCTATTGAAAAAAAT